CAACAACAACAACAACAGCAGCAATTACAACAACAACTACGGCTGTATCAGCCTCCTGGGAGTTTGTGCAAGCTCCCTCGGGGCCACCGGACCCCACCATGGGCACCAATGATATCGAGGCTCATGCTGTCCTCCTCCCGAGACTACAGCATCAACATAATTCACTTGTAGGTGCCCGTATTGGGGAGGCATCCAATCCGGGCCCAGGTGCGTATGGCTCTCACCGCATTGCCCTTCGTCGTGAGGGTGAAGAGCAACACCAAGCAGGCTTGGGCATGTTCGGTGAGGACTTCAAGAAGTCCCTGATGAACATGATCCAAACTTTGGTCCAGCAAGCTGTCCAAGAAGCACCCAGTTCCCTTTTTGGAGGCCAGTCGAAAGCTCAGAATGTGCCTGCTAGTGCTTGTTGTGGTGAAGCTAGCACTGCGCCTGCGCATTTGCGCTGGTCTAAGAACCGGCGCTCGCATGAATCTCCCGCAATGTTGCCTTCTCGTTCCGGGATGCGAGCCTTACAATCACAAGCGGCGCTATGGGGGTCGCCCAAGTTCTCATTTGATGACATAGCTGCTTGAAAACATTCTAGGCACGAGTGTGTGTTATTGAAACGCTGAAAAGCGAATCGGCTTGCGCAACGTTTGGTGTAAGATCCCAAAGTCCTGAATTCCAATTCAGGACTCAGAACTTCAACAATGCAGCTGGACGTCCAGTCGATCCCCCCGTCCAAAAGGGCAGCTATCCCAGCACTTGAGCGTATATCATGCGCAGCATCCATCAGAGCGCGCGATTCTGCAGAACGTGGCGTACAGGTTTTATTGTCAAGCGGGCCTGTTTGATCCGCACGCCTTCCATACCAAGGCTGAAGCGGATCGCATCGCTCTTGAGCTTGAGTCGCAAGCCTGAACGCATGGCTCAGAGTGGTGTGAAAAATGGGGCGGGCTGTTGTGTTGGGCTATACCCTGAATATACCCGCGATGCACCCCAACTATACATACCCTTAATATATCCCTAATATTTTCCTTAATTGACGCCCCAAGCTATCCTTTGGGTACCCCTACAATATCCCCTAGTTATACTCCTAAAATAATTTTCCCCAATATATCCCCGTCCATAGATGGAAACCCCCTCCTACATACTCTCATCGATTTTTTGGATCGGCAAGGCAAGAGAAACATTATCGACTAGACTCAGTGAAGATGTACCGGGTCCACTTTAAACAACAGGTGCCAGAGGCTCATGATCATTTCAACGCGCTCTACAGCCCTACTTGTTTACGGCAAAGCTAAGACTCCGTATTGTTCAAAAGAGTCCGTTAGGCGTGAGAGATACGTAAAGAGCCCCGGCTCGTAGATGAGGATCTGTTTCTTGCCTCGGAGGGCATGGCTGTTAGGGTGGCTACCATGGCCGCGCTAATCGCCATGCAGCCGCGGTCATCTGCCACAGGCTCAGGATGCCTGTGGGCAGTCATATCCTTTCTAGGTGTAGTGGTTGTCTCTAAGCGTTCTTCAGGCCTTTAAGAGAAGCATTTCGGTACCGCTGCTTTCTGGGGGTTGAGGAAGGTACTAGGGGGAGACCGTGAAATAACAAACTGCTTGTTTTGCTGTTGCTTGTCCGCCCGCAAATCTAGGTTCTGCATTGCCAGGATGCATGCTGCATGACACTTTTTCTTGGCCATGCTTCTCTTGCAGTTTCTAGCTCGTCAAGACCAGAACTTTGACGCCGGGTTGAGGCTGCCAGCCACCCCCCTGCTTGAGCACTGCCTGGCGAATTCATACAACTGAGGCAGCCTGCTCAACCTTGAGAGGTGCTCGTTCGGTCTGCATGCAAGTGTGAGGCTCAGCAAGTTCTGAGAGCTGAGACATGATAAGAAAGAGGTCTTGCAGCGCATTACTTGCCCCGAGTGGTAGGAATTGCCGCAGCCTGGGAGGCCTAAATAGTGCTGCATATTTACCCCATTAAGTGTTATCTCCTCCTCAGATGGACTTCCCTCGTTGTGTGAGGATGATCCGCTCACCAATTGAAGGTCCGGAACATTCAGGGGTGCCCTGAACAGGAGCTGCTAGAACGGGAAAAAGACGTGCTAAGGCGCCTTCAGTTCATCGAACGTTCCTTGCTCGGCCCTCGGTGCTTGTGCAGTTGCTTTCACTGTAAGCATGAGGCAAGCTCTTTGGCTGTTAGTGCATGGGATCTCTGAATCAGATTTGTAGGGCTTCATGGGGAAGCGTGTCAAGATCAGAGCTCTTATCCCAGACTTAACTCTGACCTTCATGACCAGTTGGGTATTTCGGGAAAGCATACGTTTTGTGTGGTAAGCTACAGCAGAGGGTTACAGATGCCAGGTTCCGTCAGCCTCCATCCCTTGTTGGCCGGAGGCGCTTTCCCGGAGTGCACTTTTGAGCTGTTATTATCTGTTGTCGCTAATTGCCACCGTTCGCTGGAAGACATCATGTACTGCTTCACGCTGCCTTGAATGCGGCGTGAGCTGGACTGGGTTTCTGCACCATGAAAACGGCGCACTTTGGCTGTTTGGCACAGGTTCCGGAGAATGAGGGTTGTCGGGCAGTCATTATGGGATCTTTTTGGTTGTGGCTGTTTTTGTTTCGTAAACCACCCTGAACAGTTTCCCAAACGGCCTTGGCTAAAACGGTGCACTTTTGATACAGTCATTCCTGGCAGAAGCAACCGCGAAAAGAGAAGGCTCCTCCATCCGTCCTGGACTCCCATCTAGTTTTTGAGGCTAGTGTCCTCGGCAAGGACGCCCTCCTTCCCTAAAGACTAATTAGAGGGAATCTTCTTCAAACATCCTCACCCCTGGCTGTGCAGTGACCTT